AATAGCACTGATTTATTTAATGCTGACTTTGATCCTTTCTCTCTCTCTCTCTCTCTCTCTCTCTCTCTATATATATATATATATATATATATATATATATATATATAAAAATACAGAATGAGATGGATAAATACGACAAAATTGAAAATACCACAGACATCAAATTTTAATAGATATATATGCCAAAATTACACAAATATATCTTGAAATAGTAAAGAGTAAATTTATTAAATAAATCGCCATTGGCTTCAACCAGGGCAGCAGTACTTCCTCAACCACGGGCTCTAGAAAACTTCGGAATCTTCTGCAATTCTTCTCAATGGTTTCCTCATATAAGTTGGTGAATGCTGCCATAATACTTGCCTTTAGTTTTGTTGGTCTCTCGCTCAACTGCACCCCACACATAATAATCAAGGGGGTTTACAGTCTGAGAGTTAGGTGGCCAGATATAAGGGGTGTAGTGATCGCAGAACTTGTCTGACAGCAAATGACTGGATTCTCCAGCTTGTGTGGCCTGGAGCAGACTCTTGTTGCCAGATATAGTGTCATCCAGCAGCCATCCACTTGGCCCAGGGCAGCAGTACTTCCTCAAGTCACTTCATCAGTATTGATTCAAAATGATCCGATTTTTGTGAGATGCCGTACCATCTTAATCACCATTAAACTCATCGAACTCTTTTCGAGTCCCCCTGCACTGTCCTCAGATTGACCCACAAAGACTCTGTAGTAACTCCTTTCCATGTTTTGGTTCACCACTGCTGTGGATTAGTATTGAACTCACAACACTTTGGGTCTAGTCACTTAGAGTGTTGATTTAAAGGGAAATAACTGAGACTTCCGGAAGAGGCATGACACGTGGAACTAGAACAATCTATCACAATGGACGAAATAAAGGGTTCGGTTCGAAATTCTAATCACCTGAAGAAAGCCGCAGCGTACAACGGTCGAAACGTTGTGAATAGGCCAATGAAGATGAAGATAACAGTCCGAATAATGCAAGTAATCATAAAACCTCTTCTCAGCGATATAGACAGATATTTGGGGCTATTAACTTGGTCTAACGAACATCTGTATCCGACGGCCAAAACGTTGTAAATATGGCAATGAAGATGAGGATAACAGTCCGAATAATATAAATAATGCAAGTAATCATAATACCTCATCTCAGCGATATAGACAGATGTTTCGGTCTATTCACTGGATCTAATCAACGTCTTTATCCAACGTCCGAAACGTTGTGAATATGGCAATGAAGATGAAGATACCAGTCCGAATAATGTAAATGATGTAATTAATCATAATACCTCATCTCAGTGATATAGTCAGGTACAACAGCCTTCTTTACAAGTTGTTTTTTATCTAACCAGGTAGCCACCCAAGGCTATAGAGCCCAGTCTGCTGTTTGAAGGTGAAGTGGGAAAAGATATGTATACCCCTTCTAAAGTATGTGCGAAAATAATAGAAAAAATCGACCCTGGGATTTGAAACCGATTCGCCTTTTCCACTTTCAACGTTTAGAACCTTTACTCTAAGACAGCTTAAATCCAATTTGCCGCTACACATTCTTTGACACTGTCATCTTCCAAATTTAATAAAAAAAAACTTATTCAAAAAATGTATTGTTATTTAATGCTGTTAAGTATTTCCACAGCAATTAAAGATTTATAGAATGTAGTAAACACGTACACCGTAGGTAGGTTTGTAGGTATTAACATATAGGGATACTAATTGTTTTAATAATATTTTTTATTGTTACAGCAACACTTCAAGTCAGGTATTGAAGAGTCCGTGTTTTCACTTCAGTGCTACAAGGGATCCTTGAGGTATTGTGTTCTTTACTATATCCGGTGGGCTTAGATTTGGGAATTGGCTGAAAACATCCCTACCGTCTATTGACGGATCTCTCATACATTGCTCTCAAATAAAACATCTGCTTTTATGAGGGTGAATATTCTGGGACTGTAGCCGTAAATAACATTTGGTATCTGGATAATAGTTGCCTGTCAGATGGCCTCTCACCACATGGGCACAACATAAATCTTTCTGACTTTGTGATCCGTTTTCGCTAAATTTGTTTCCATAGTGATAAAATAAATGCCAATTCTTTTAGAGGCCATCATATATGTATTTCATAACATAACTTTTTGGCGTAATTATACAAGCAATGTCTATATATTTCCATGGAAATCTCACTACACTACCTTTTAAGGTTGACATTTATGTGCCGACTTTGGGATTTAAAATCATTCAGTGTGCCAACAGCATACGTATTTTTATACACGTTAAGGTCAATATACCTGTTCTACAATATATATATATATATATATATATATATATATATATATAACCAGGATATATAAGAGTTGTCAGGACCGGAGAAGAAGTCTCTTATATCCGGGTTTGGTCTATTTTATATACATTAACACAGGCTCTAATTTGGTACCAGAGAAAATCTCTCTTATATCCGGGTTTCTCTTATATCCGGGTTACACTGTAGTAATATATAGTATACATACAGTGCTGTTCGATAAAAGTGACTCACCTGATTTTCTTTCACTTAAAAAAAGGTCGCCTATTGTTTTTGAGGTCAAACTAATTTTTAATCTTACTAATATAAAGACCCCTTCCAACCACCTAGTAAAAAAGTTTACTCCCCCTAACGTATTCTATTGATAATCATAATTTTGGATATGAATAAGTTTCAGGAAAAAAACTCTATGCCAAAAAAAGTGACTCACTTATTTCCTGCAACTAGTAATCAATAGAAACATAACCGAACAGCTTTAAATAAAGAATAATAGAGGTATAATTTATTTATAATAGGTAATATAGTTCGAAATATTTAATAATCTATGGGTCCTCCTTTATTTTGAATAACCTTTTCAACCCTTTTTGGCATTGGCTTGATTAAGTTCTGGCAAATCTCATCTCCAAGCATTCACAATCACAATCAAATCCTCTTTGTTGCTCAACTGCTTTCTCGAGAGCCTGTACTTTATAATGCTCCATAAGTTTTCTTTAGGGTTGATGTCAGGAGATTGGGGCGGCCATGTCATAACACTCACCAGCTTCTCATCAAAGTATTCCTTCATCAATTTTGATTTGTGACAGGGGGCATTATAATTGCATAAAAATAAGCTTGGTGGGGTCGATTTTCACCCTTTCAGCAGAAGGGAGCAGACAAGACTCTAAAATTCTCTTGTACTGCTCGCTCCTGGGGGTCTTTTCAATAGGTTTTAAGAAACCAGTCCCATGAAAAGAAAAGCATCCCCATAACATTATACTGAACGGATGCTTGACAGTACTTATTGCTAAATTCAAAGAGCTCTCAAAGCTTCTTCTTCAGATTTTAGGTCGCTTGTCCTTTGAATTTAGCTCAACTTTCGTTTCATCGGAGAAGAGAACATTCTTCCATTTTAACCCCCAAAACAATAGACAAAAATATTTTTAGTAAAAAAAATCAGGTGAGTCACTTTTATCGAACAGCACTGTACTTTAGTATATATTAAAATTGAAACAGTTCAATATCTTCTTTGCGTTGCAGTAGTTATTGGTTTGGACTTTGTGATGTCATTTTTGGCTGCGTGCCATTAGAAATTGCTTGGCATGGTACGTGTGGCACGCATGCCGTAGGTTGCCGATTCCTGGTTTAAGGTCAGATGATAGACAAAATAGGGATGTCGATTTTGATTGGCTGTGCCGAACGTGGGAATGTTAGAGAGATAGAAAGTGATTTCAAGGAGTTAAGTTTTACACGTCGAAGAATACAGACGTGTGGTTTTCGTGTCTCGGGGAACTTGCTGCCCAGTGGGGGGTGATAGTTAAAAATATACCCGTCAACGTGCTTAATAAAATAGACAAGATTCAAATTCCTTTTGTCGGAGTTCTCTTTCACCCAAAAACATTTTGACACGCGTCCTGAAGATGGCCGAGAGATAAGAATGCAGGTTTGTTGTGGGTCGAACCCTTCAACCAAGAGATCCCCAGAACGAGGTGGGGGTATACAATACTACGCGACATTCGTTATCACTTTCACACCAGAGTGCGACAAAGTTTGTCCGGTAAATAAGGACATTTTTCCCCTGACACCGCTATTATTTGAACTACCTTCACTCCTCGGCAATGTTTATTGTTTTAAAAAGCGATGATTAAAATTGTAATAAAACCTAAACATATTAAATTTCATTTATCATTTCCTTTCTTGAGATTTTACAACAAAAATAATAAACACAGTCTATTAAATTGTATTTTTATTACATCGTTTATTTACAAGAACAATTCTATATTTAAATCATTCTAAAACTAATACAAATATAACTAACGCAATCGAATATTTATCATTTTCCAATTTGTAAAATGTTGTAGTATACATACGGACGATAATGTGTATGTCTCCATTCACATAAATACAGTAGTAAATACTGTATGTTGGTCTGCAGCTGTGCTAGTCAAACTCTCTGCTTCCGGGCAGAGAGGATCTCCAGACGAGGCTATGTCGATGGGCAGATTCTCGTCTCGGGAAATAGCTACCCGACTCCATTTCATACGTGGTCTACGGGAAATTTTTGGCCGAACATACGGGATCGGTTACTCCACATTAAATCCGGCCTTGTGACACATCTGACCGCGTGGAGCGGTTGGTAGATATCCTGCAGTTGGAGATGCGTCTCCCGCTGTGCTGGTCGAACACTCGGCCTCCAGGCAGAGAGGATCCCCAAATAAGGCTATGCCAAAGGACAGAGTCTCGTCTCGGGAAACACCTACTCGACCCCGTTTTATACGGGGTCTACGGGTAATTTTTGGCCGAGCCAACGAGCTTCGATACCCCACGTTAAATTCGGACTTGTGCCATATCTGACTGTGTAAGGGGTTGGTAGATATCCTGCAGTTAAAGATTCATTGCTGAATTCACGTGACTCACTTCTAATAGTTCACTACTTCTTCTTAGTTAATTAACCTATTTTGTTTTAGGCTAATATCGTTCTCATTACATCTATAAGCTTCAATATCAAACTAGCAATATTCCCTGTTCAATCTATCTATCTATCTATCTATCTATCTATCTATCTATGTCAGTCTGTTCCTTATCTATCTATCTATCTATCTATCTATCTCATTCTGCTCATATCTATCTATCTATCTATCTATCTATCTATCTATTACAGATTGTTCATATCTATCTATCTATCTATCTATCTCATTCTGCTCATATCTATCTATCTATCTATCTATATATATATATCAGCCTGTTCATTATCTATCTATCTATCTATCTATCTATCTATCTATCTATCTATGTCTGTTCCTTATCTATCTATCTATCTATCTATCTATCTATGTCAGTCTGTTCCTTATCTATCTATCTATCTATCTATTACAGATTGTTCATATCTATCTATCTATCTATCTATCTATCTATCTCATTCTGCTCATATCTATCTATCTATCTATCTATCTATCTATCTATCTATCTATCTATCACAGCCTGTTTATTATCTATCTATCTATCTATCTATCTCACTCTGCTCATATCTATCTGTCTGTCTATCTAAAGTTGTTCTCGCGCCTGCATATACATTTCAATACATTTAAATCCATGTATACATGAGAATTTGATTGCTTGTTCATTCGCAATGGTTCTTCATAAATTACCAGAAAGGGCTTCTTTCTAAATTCATTCTAAAATTTATTACGATTAAACAAAATTCCGGGCGGACGATGGAGCCGTCTGTTAGACCAAACGACATCACAGACTTCCGGACATGAACTGATCGCAAGCTGATGTTCATCTAACGGACAAAGAGAGAAAAGGAGAAGAGGAAAGTGAGAGAGAAAAAAAGAAGGAAAGAAAATGAGAGAAAGAAAGAAGAAAAGAAAGAAAGATAGAAAGGGAAAATAGGGATGGAGAAAAGAGAGAAAAAAAGTGAGCAAATTTTTGAAACCATTTCTTTCAGTTTGAGCGGATACCTATCTAGGTTGAACTTTATGCCAGATGAAATTACACGGATTTTACAAGCATAAAGTGGAAATTACTCTACAGCAGGTGAGGATGTCGAGATTAGAATGGGCGCAGGAGCAAAAAACGATTTCCAGACGTACGTGCAGTCAGGGTTATTTAATTTAAACTGGTATAAATAGATATAAATAATTAGTTTCTAGATAGATCGAGAGAGAAATAATGAGCAAGCAGGAAGATAGATAGATAGATAGATAGATAGATAGAAAATGAACAGGATTTGATAGATAGATAGATAGATAGATAGATAGATAGATAGATAGATAGATATTGATCAGGATTTGATATCTATCTAGCTAGATAAACAGATAAAATAAAACGAAGTAGATATTAAATCTTAGATAGATAGATAGATAGATAGATAGATAGATAATGAACATACTGAGATAGATAGATAGATAGATAGATAGATAGATAATGAGCAGGATTTGATAGATAGATAGATAGATAGATAGATAGATAGATAGATAGATAGATAATGAGCATGCTATGGTAGATAGATAGATAGATATTGAGAAGAATTTGATAGCTAGCTAGCTAGATAAACAGATAAACCAAAATGAAGGCGATATTAAATCTTAGATAATGAGCATGCTGTGATAGATAGATAGATAGATAGATAGATAGATAGATAGAAAGGCAGACAGACAGACAGAAAGAAAAAAAGAAAGAATGAAAGAAACAACATGAAACGTTTCTTAATAATATCTCATTCTTTTTTGTGCACTTGGAATTTTATCTAAAAAATTCCGCAAAGTTTATTTTGTAAAAGAAAAAAAAAAAGTGAATCTGTCTCGAGAAAGAAGAAATAACGAGGAATAAATCGAGCGAAGTGTTTGCGTTTGCGTGACGTTCGTTCTTTGTGTTTTTCTGTTTTTGTCTTTTATTTTTACCCGATAGCGTTTTACTTCGCAATATCTTTTGAAAAGATTTCTGCCCAGTGTTTCGTTTCTTTTATCTTCTCGACGGAAAATTTTCATCACCCGATGAAAAAAGTTTCAACAGTAAAAGCATAATTGGCATCAAGTAAAAAGAAACTTGGTTTTTCATTCCATCGTTAGATACTGTCTTTCTTCAGAAAATAATTCTTGCTGATGGCGCTAAAATATAACAGAAATGTTACACACTTTCATGCAATCGAATGGTGAGAGAAAAATCCAGAAAGGAACAATAGGATGCCATAAACATAATGGACGCTTTTGACAGATTTTGATCTATCTATCTATCTATCTATCTATCTATCTATTCTAGGCTGTTCATATCTATCTATCTATCTATCTATCTATCTATTACATACTGTTTATATATATATATATATATTACAGTCTTCATATCTATCTATCTATCTATCTATCTATCTATCTATCTATCTATCTATCGTTTACAGACTTCATATCTATCTATCTATCTATTACATACTGTTCATTATCTATCTATCCATCTATCTATCTATCTATCTATTACAGAGTGGTCATATCTATCTA